GCAGCGCCTAGGAGTTGGGCGCTGCATAGTACAGTGCAGCGCCTGACTGTTGGGCGCTGCAGTGTTGTTAACTGCCAAACTGCAGAAACATATTCCATTTTGGCCTCATACAGCACTGACATAACTTGCTTCAACATAACTAGAATTACTGTGAACACAAATACTGAACAAAGACGACTAATAACTTGAACATCACATCATTTAGGACAATTCAACATAACTACTAGTTCACAAACACAAATACCACACTAGTAAGAGTTCATCAACAGATAACATAACCTCACAAGTTCATCAATCTAATGAAACGGCTACAAGAGCACTAACAAACACAAGCACTAATGCCTTCCGCGCGTGTTCCTGGTGTCACGCCTGCAGCTAATCTTCTTCTTTCTGGGTGGACGAGCCTCCTCTTCCTGCACTTCCTCCTCCGCCTCCGCCTCCGCCTCATGATCCAAGCTAGCCATCCGCGAGGTCCCTACGACCACCTTTGGGTTGCCTCTGTTGTCAAAGTCGTTGGGCGTGTACCGGCGTCTGGGCTGCCTAGGCTTGAACACATATGGGGACCGAAGTTGAGCGTCCGCCAAATACATGTCATCATCAATCTCATCGGCCTATCACACAATCAAACATATGTGAAGACCGACATCGTAATCAAGTGAGAATCACATCTAAAGTATTAGTCATACCTCTTGGGTGAACGCACCCTCATCATCCCGATAAGCATACGAGGAACTCACATCGTTCCTCTGATGGTGAGATGAGGGGTCTGATGGTGTACCAGACCTAGAGGCAGATGGTTCATCAAATTCGGGATCACGGTAACCAAGAAGATTCGATAACCGCCTTAACTTCTTGGCCTGACGCTGTAACATGAACAAGTGTGGAAGATATCAAACTCCGCAACATAGACTGGCTCTCATAGTGAATGCAACATGTACCTTGAGGAATGCTCGTAGTGAACCATCATCATTGCCTTTTCCAACTGGTGTGTTCTCGAGAATAGACTGCTCTCATCAGCTACTTTCTTGATCTCGGTGCGCTGTGGATGAGAAAGAATGAACACGTTAGCCATTCAAACATGTGTAATACGGCCAACGGGAAAGTAAAGAAGGAACACTTTACCACATAGTTAATCACCGGAATAGCAGGGACTCCTTGCCCTAACTTGACATTTCTGTTGTACTTCCCCTTTGATAGATCCTCAAAGTTTACGGGTTCTTCAAGAATATCCTCATGATATGCCGGCGGGCATATCTCAACTCAAGTATTTTCAAGAAGCCATCGTATGTAGTTATCAAAAGCAATTGGGTTATGCTCACGAAGCTGGGCGCGTGCAGTGCTACGAGCTTGCTCCACAGAAAGCTGGAAGCGGGTAACATACGGAGCATGATGCTTGTCCCAGTCCTTTATCTTCCGCTGCCTTCTCCTGTCCAACCTGCGTGGTATAAAACCAAACATTAGCACAATCAAAAGGAGTCCCGATGCTTAGACAATACGCAAACATGCTCTCTTACCTATGAAGTGCTTTGTCCGTGTCCACCCAATCCGGCGGGTGAGGCTGGAAAAGACCAAACTGACGTAACACGCGATGCGGCAAATGAAACTCAACCGCCCAGTTGCATATCAGTGGGCACCGCATAAGCCAGAGATCCTTATCCCGCAAGCACATCGGGTTGAGGAGGAACTCCGCGGTGTACCCCAAGCTCTCACCCACGCCATATGGCTGCCATACCACCTATGAAACATGGCAACAATGCAAATTTGATGACTATTTTTCAAGCAAGCATGAGAAAGGACTGAAGTAATGACCTCCTTACCTGCTCAGGCGTAATCGTGTCCAACTCGGCAATGTACTTTTGGTACATGAGATTGACACCGTTCGTCATCTCGGAAATGATATCCCACTTGTAAGCCCACGTGGGGCGCCGTAATTCGTCATGTTCATCTGCATACCAAGGATCAAACCTGACGCTCTTCGGGCATCCAACAGGCAGACGCGCCCAGCTCCATACAGAAAGTAGAAGTAGATTACCACCAATGCCTGCACTATCCGTGATCCTGCAACACGCATCGTCCAGCTGCATATGAAAGAAAAACAATGTTAACTTGACAACAAGCTTGTATTGCTAATGAATAAATGAGTTGATCACAAAATAGACCAACTACCTATCGGCACAAGTAGGCAAGAGTTGCTGAACCCCAGCTCCATTTGCTATCGAAGACGGTCCACGCCTTCAGCCACATCCATGGAGTGTTCTTGCCAGTGGAGTCAGGAAACAAAGTCCTCGACACAACGTACCACATATACACACGAGCATGTGTCTGGATCACATCATCAGTGGCATCCGGAGGGCACGTCGCAAAGTTATTTTGAATCCACGTGAAAACAACTCCGGTTGCTTTCCTTTCCCTCTTCTTCTTCTCTTCTCCCTCCTCTACATCAGCCTCAGCCTCGGTAGGAGCCATACCGATAAGAGCAATCATCTGCTCGCGCCACCCATCAGAATCGGTGCTCATACAGAGAGGCCTCCCGTCGATAGCAAGACCGGTGATCAATGAGACATCCTGGAGCGTCACGGTCATCTCCCCGGTCCGAAGATGGAAACTGTGCGTCTCCGGCCTCCACCGATCAACAAGAGCGGACACCAGTGGAGCGTTCAGATTCGGCATGGACCGGCTGACCAACAGAATCCACGGGAGTAGTCCTGCTTGCTTGATGTACGGTGTGTACCGCTCATCGTAAGGCATGGCAGGACCAGAGACCCCATGATATCGAATCTTCAGAGGTTCAAGCTTCTGCAAAAAACAAGTAATGACAAATCTTAGGGCATGTAAATTTCAACTAAAGGCAAATTTGCAAAATATTTAGATTACTAGTTATTACCTTGTCCTTCTTGCGCATCATGTAGGCCCGGTGTTGCACGTCGTAGACATCGTCCAGAAGCCAAACCATCCTTACAAATTTCAAACAATAAACATATATGAGTTCATCTCAAATATCGGTAAACACTCAACATTTCATATGTGTTCATCTAAACATCTCATATGTATTCATCTACAAGAATCTCAACATCTCCTTCTCACACAATGAATACATGATTGTAAATTCTCATATATATCTCGTATGACATATGTGTTCAAATAAACTCAATATCTCATATTTCAAATAAACTCAACATCTCACATATAGATACAAAACTCAACATCTCATAATTATCTACAAAACTAGGCATCTCATATATATCTAAAAAAATAAACAATCTAGGTTTCACTAACAAGAATCATATACTACCAGATATGACTACACATCCTCCATCACAACACACAATCTTGGACAAACAAAGATCCAAACCAAGCAAATCTAAGGTTCCACCTAATCTTGGACAAATCCCTAAAATTGCAACAATTTTACGGAGGAAAAGAAAGGGAACGGAGGAGTTTACATACTAGGAGGGATTGGAGATCGAATCCAGGCCTCAAAACATCAGATCTGAGAGGGGGTGTGGGGGGGATCCGAAGGGGGCGCCGCCGCCGCTCTTTGTACAGAGAGCAACTTCTCTGAGGTGGAAGAACTGCCTGGGAGGGGCTGGCCCGATGCGGCCTAAGTCAACATGCAGCGCCTAAAGCACGGGCGCTGCACTATACACCGTGCGGCGCCTAAGCCTTAGGCGCTGCAGTGCTGTCTGTGGGGCAGCAACTGGACCAGGGCTGCCACGAGGGCAGGAGGTGTGACGCCTAGGGCAGAGGCGCTGCATAGTAGTGTGCAGCCCCCAGCTGTCGGGCGCCACACGAAAGGGTCAGCAGAGCGATTTTTTTTGAAAGTAGGTCAGTTTGTGATTTGATTTCGGCCTCAGGTCAAATATGTGATTTCTGCCGCAGCCCGACATGATAAGACATAAATTCCCTTGTCTGATATGACCGTTAGGTGGGTAGATATTTTGGGACAGCTGGCGCGTAGCACAGCAACGGTCGGAATATTTGACTCTCAAATACCTCAGGGCTATCATGTTCCTCACTTTGTAGGCAATCCGCACTGGTGAATTCCTAACTCCTCAGTTAGAACAAATTCCTCAGAGACCAGAAGAACTTCATCTCTGTCACTGAAGAATATGACTGAACTGTGTGAGATTTTCAATGGCTTCACTCGAAAGTATTGGTAGGTGTAAGATTTTGAGTTGAGCATCACATGGAAATTTCTCCTTAGTATTTCCTCGACTCCCTTTAACAGTACGATGTTTCCTATGACTCAAGAAAGAGAAAATGAAATAGTAAAAACAAGAGTCTTCACGCTTCATGTTCCTCGAATGATTACCAAGTCTTCTAGGTCGCACCAATTTCTTCACTTTCATAGTCTTCAGAAAGTCTTCAGAAATCCAAAGTCTTTAGTTGAAGAACTTCATTTTTAGGGGTCGACTTTCTCTGTAAATATCAAACTCCTCATAGACTTATAGACCTGTGTACACTCACAAACGCATCAGTCCCTTAACCTATAAGTCTTCAATACACCAAAATCACTAAGGGGCACTCGATGCACTTACAATCTCCCCCTTTTGGTGATTGATGACAATATAGGTTAAGTTTTCAACGGGGATAAACATATGAAGTGTAAATACTGATATTGAGGAATTTGATTGCAAGATATAGAAGAACTCCTCCTAAAGATGTGCATAGTGAGGAATTTGCTTTTGAAGCAATGCACACTTGAAGAGTATAATCATGGAGATCTCCCCCTATATCTTGTAATTCATACACGCATTTGACATATAATATGAAGAATTTGAAATGCATGATGAGATATGGTGACTCATGTAATTCAACATGCGTGCATTAACATTTATGAGGAATAAGCATGCAGAAGAACACAACAAAAGTATCAGGCCACCATAGAGTTTAAGATTACAACTCGATCCAGCAAATTCATTAAAAGAAGAGAGTTGTAACTTAGCAAAAAACGCCCATATATGATAGACCCGCTTGAAGACTAACTCAAATTTCTCCCCCTTTGTCATCGAATGACCAAAAGGGTTGAAAATGAGGACTAACGCCCCTGAAGAATATCAAGAAGATGGAGGAGCGCCAATGTTGTTGGGGTCTTGAGTCGATGTAGGGCCTGCTATAGTGTCGTCCAAGTCTTCATACTCGTCCGTGTCGTGCGATGAAGAATAAGAACTGGCAACCAAGGAAGGAACCTTGACCTTCTTGAATTTCTTCGGAGGAGGAGCAGACCAGTCAAATCTTCCTTGAAGCCCATTTGCTTCAGATCTTCTTCACCATATAGATGTGAGAGAATAGCCCCAGGTGCGATCAAATACTTCATGGAGGTAGTAATGGTTTTTCTTCACTGCATTATGTGTAGAGGTCATGTTGTGAAGAATAGAACCAAACTGACGCTTAAACCATTTGTGGTTTCGATCCACCTTCTGGTGAAGACTTATAAGCAGCTCATGGTCAGTCATCACACGAGGAGCAGTAGCTTGAGGACTTGACTTGGTAGCATTGGCAGCAGAATCATGAGTGGCAGAGTCATCATTGGTGGAGTAAGATGCAGCTTTGCGGAACTGACCATCCAATGGACGAATGCCTTCATCGATAACGGCTGGTGACTTTCCCTTCTCATCAGATGAGGAAATTATCCGGTTGAGGACTTCAATAGGGGGCAAGTAGCTGAGGTGATTCTGAAAATCAGCCTTGTAGTTGAGTGAAGACCTTGATCTGAGGAATCTCATGATCCATGGAGCATAAGGCTTCAGCTCAAACGGTGAAAGTGCAACATTTGCCAGAGTCCTCATGAAGAAATCATGATAGTTTATGGGGATGCCATGCATTATGTTGAAAATCATATTCTTCATCATCCCGATAACTTCTACATCAGATGAGTCATGGCCTTTGATAGGACTCATAGTCTTGGTCAGTATGCGATAGATGGTTCTTAGCACATAGAGCAATTCCTTCACGAGGAATTTGGTCCTTGGGGCTTGACCAGGCTTCAGCGGCTTCATGAGCACTTGCATATAGTGAGCAGTGAGTTCAGGCTCATCATACAGACAACGAGCACCTTCAAGTGGAGGACTGAGTGGCAAGGCGTGAAGCAATTCAGTGGTCGGTGCCTTGTAGTGAGTGTTTTCGGTCATCCAGTTCAACACCAAAGTGTTGATGTCATTTGCTTCACCAGTGATATGCAGCATCACATAGAACGGAAGAATTAGCTCTTCATTCCAGTCAATGATGTCAGTGCAAAAGTTAAGCAGACCTGCATCGTGAATCATACTGAGGACTTGTGTGAAGCAAGGCATGGATTCCATGTCCACGTGAGGAATGTGATCGTGGTCGAAGACTTTGTCCTTGTCGAAGAGTACTGAGGAATAGAAGTTGGCCTGGCTGGAAGTCCAGAAACGCTTCCTTCTAAGATGAGCATTGTCATATGGGTTGAATTCAGTGAAGAACACACGCTCGCCGAAGAAATCATCAGCCTTGAATTTTTGCTTCTTTGAGAAGGGGTCCTTTGGTTTGGGCTGAGGAGTGTTAGTCAATTGCATCACCACTTTAGGAATCGCAATCTCGGGTTCCTCAGGCTGAGGAATTTCAGGCTCTTCTGCAGTTATAGCCTGGGTCATCAATTCTTTATTCACATTTTATTCAGAACTAGTGGCTGGAATTTCTTCATGGACAGACGGGGTTGCATGAGGTTCTTCAGATCCCATTTGCACTTCAGTAGCAGCTGGGGACTGAGGAATTGCTTGGAGTGGAGTGAACAATGGAGAGTTGGGGTGCTGACTTTCCCAAAAGTCATCATTCAGTACGGGTGTGGTGCAGCCGATGTCCACATCCTCATCTTCCATTTCTTCAACACCTGCCTCTTCTACAG